CGACATTTGATGACACCCCATAATACGCGTTGATGGCTGCATCGTTACCAAACCTGTGAAGTTTTGGGGCGTTTGGAGCAGTTTCACTGAAGTTATGAGAAAACCGTGTTTCATGGCGAGCATTGTGTTGCCATGGCAACGACATTTGAAGAAATCTCAAAACTGTCCAATAGATGTCTTCACGGCTGGATTTTTAGCACACATGTGAAGTTTGAGCACTTTTTGAACATTGTCATCTTATAGCGACATCCTCTTTTATGGCGAGGGATGCGTTTCCATGGAAACGGCATATGATGACACCCCATAATTGACGTAGAGCTGTTGAGGGCTGGACCGTTAACCATTATCTGAAGTCTGGTGCTGTTTTGACCCTTTTCATAGGCGTTACGACAACATCGTGTTTTATGGCGAGGGATGCATTTCCATGGAAACGGCATATGGTGAGATTTGACGTAGAGCTGTTGAGGCATGGAGAGGTGATATACAGGTGAAGATTGTGGGACGACCGGACCGTGTCCAATTGTGAGCTACAGCGAGATGTGCTTTTTAGTGGCGACGAGGATGTGTTCCATGGCAACAACCTATTGTCGAGACCTCAGATTGCCGGCGTGAAACGCCTGTTGAAGGCAATCGGACCAGTGATTATACAAGCGAGTTATGGGGGACGAATCCGGACCCCACCCCCCCCGTGATCCATCTGGAGTTACAGGCAACATCGTGTTTTTAGGGCAGAGGGATGCTTGCCTGGAAACGGGCATATTGATGCAGAGTCCTGCATCGGGTCGGCGGGGTACCAGACCCGGGTGACCCGCAGAAAAGAGCTGATTACGGGTGGTATTGTTTTTCTGGGTTTCCGGTTCTGGTAAACAAAGAAGATGCGGGTCGGGCCGTCGGCCGGTGTGCAATAATGAAATATATTAANTACATGAATACTGTGGGCTTGAATGTGTGATGAGAGAAGAAAAGAAAGTAAAAAGGCTTGGGAAAGCAGCAGAATATTTGAACTGCAAACTTTTGAACTTAGTTCAAAAGTTTGCAGTTCAAATATTCTGCTGCTTTCCCAAGCCTTTTTACTTTCTTTTCTTCTCTCATCACACATTCAAGCCCACAGTATTCATGTATCATTTAAATCTAAATTCTTCGCTTTCTTTTTACACATTACATTTCAGCATAGCAGTTTAGCGTCAGCTTTTCAGCATAAAGCATTCCCACTAGCAATTTCTTCAGGAATTGCATTCTCTAGTTTTCATCTGTTGCTCCAGCTGAACACTTATTGTTTTTATTTTACTCCAAGTGTTTATCATGCACATTTACAATCCCAGTGCAGCTCTTCTGGCAGTCTGACAGTACAAACGCATGCCTCCTATTCTACCAAGTGAAAGATTCCCAGTGAGGTCAGCATGTCTAATTTAATTATCAGTACACTAACAAGGATCTACTCCTACCTTCACTTCTTGTTTGTGTCTTGTACAACAATGAAGATTTACACGACGCGTGCATGTTGGTTTCAATCCCCTTCTTCTCATTCATTCCTCAATTATCTCGACCACCACCGAGCAGAACCCCAAAACAAGAGAAAACTGAAAACAACCCACCTCGTTAAGTAGGAAGACGCTGGAAGAATTGGTAAGGGACATCCGCAGTAAACGGGGATCTCGGTCACATCAGCACAACTTGGGTGAAAAAGCCACGTTTCTTACAGAAAAAAAGGCAGCAACAAGAGCAGAGCACAGCGCCTCGTTCAAACATTTTCACAACACAGCAGAGAAAACTGTTCGGCTGCTGCTTCGTTTGGATGGGAAGCTCCGGCGGCTTCTGCGCTGTAAAATCTCGTGTTTCTGGATTCAGGACATAATCAATGACAGTAGCCTAAAGCCATAGGCACGGACACACGGATGGATCGATTACAGCTTTCTTAATAAATTATGCAAGACCTGCACTTTTCACAGACCCAAGTCCCCGAGAATTTCTGCGGAATTTAGTCAGATTTCTAATAATCCATTTTTATAATGAGTCTGGCATCAGCCCTCGAACTCGCTCACTAACATTTTCCCATTTTGAAAAAAGTAACGGTAGGGATTCAAATGATAGGCTACATTTAATTAATTTTGATGCACATGTGGCCATGGATTTGTTGCTTAACAAACATTTTCAAATGGGATGGCCCATAATTGATATCTCCTGCTAGAATTATATTGCACACAGAGAAGATAATAAGATGTTTTGTAGATTTTTACATTTTCAGAGCCTGAGAGGTTCCAACATGAGCCAATGTGTGTTTGATGGGGGGGGCAGAGATGGAAGAAGTACTCAGATATTTTACCTAAGTAACTAGTAAGTATAAGATTCAAGATTAAATTCAAGGATTTTATTGTCATTTGTACATAGCTACGGTGTAGTTATGTCAATGCAAATATTAGGTGACAGGCTCCTCCAACAGTGCAACACAATAAAACAGATAAAATAGTGCAAGTAAATACAAATAAAATAGAATAGAAATAGTGCAAGAATAGGTTACAAGTAATTGGAATATGAATAGTTTTAAAAAAGTTGCAAACAGATTAATGTATGTGCCCGAGTGTAGGAATATATGTTATAAGTAAAAGTAATGTTTTCAAAATGTTATTTCAGTAAAAGTACAAAAGTATTAGCATCAAAATATACTTGTGTTTGAAGCTTTAAAGCTGGTAAAGGTGATGCTTTTAATTCCTTTGTATGGGTAGCTATTTAAGTGATGTTTAGATTTCACATAATTATTCAAAATCTGGAAAGTAACTAAAGGTACTAAACAAATGTAGTGGAGTCAAATTACATTATTTACCTCTGAATTGTACTGGGGAAGAAACATAGCAAAACATTGTAATACTCAAGTGAAGTATAAGTCCCTCAACATTGTACTATACAGTAAGTAAATGTGCTTAGTAACTTCCCACCACTGGATGGGGGTGCTGTTTTCAGTCGAAGGAGACGTTTTGTGTTTGCTGGGTGAAGATGTTCAGGAGGCAGGGGTGAGATGCGGGTCTTCTCGGTTTTCACTGATCCAGCACTTTGGCCACCTCACATCCCGTAAACGCTTTCCATTTACACAGCGCCCATCGACCGCTCCAGTCAGGTATTATACTGCCAATGTCAAAAACACAGGAAAAAGTCACTTTGTACTCACACACACACACACACACACACACACACACACACACACACACACACACACACACACACACACACACACACACACACACACACACACACACACACACACACACACACACACACACACACACACACACACACACACACACACACACACACACACACACACACACACACACACACACACACACACACACACACACACACACACACACAAGACCAAGAGAGCCACAGAGAGAGCCCATAAACTGAAGCACATTTTGTGGTTGAAGTAGTTTCACACTGACTTGGAATTTATGCAGCTTCCAATAGATCCAATCTGGCAAAATTCAGTGCAAGTAAAATGAAGGGAAAAAAAACCTAGAAATGTTAAAAGACACAGACTATACACATACTATCTTTCGCTTTGACATATCCAAATCCATACATTTCTACCTGCTTAACATTTCTGAGAAATGACATCTACATATTTTCCATTTTTTAAATGACATAAAAATGGTGAATATGCAAATATATTCTGAGTCAAGTTTACCTACTGAAAAGAGATGTAGTCTTTTTCATTTGAAAGTTTCTTTTTCGTGTAAAATGTTGGTTTCAAGTTTCAATATCACATCAGTAAGTTCTCATCTGATGTCACACATCCTGCTGCTGGCCTGGTAAAACCCAGATTGAATGTGAGTAACAAATAGTTCAGCAGATGCACCTGCAAACAGCCTTATCGAGTCCAACTCTGAACATGAGGTTTCACTTTTCATACTTGACCAGGATTGACTTCCAGACGTGTTGGGATCAAAAAACACATTTCTTGATCCAGCTGATACGTGCAAAAATAACCTTTTACTGTTCAACAGCACATGCATTTGTCTGCACAGTGAAGGTGAAACATCAATGTGAAGCAACACTGCAAAAAAAATTCTGAGTGATGGGACACCACTGTGAAACCACTGTTAAAGGCTTTAATGCAGAGAGTAACAGTTGCTGACCAATGGCGCCCACTGCTGGTCAAAATGACGAAAGAGATAATACAGTACATACATACAATACAATACACTATTATTTGTTAATGGACAAAGGCAAAGCTGTGCAATTTGGAGTTTGTTTTTACATCTCTCACATGAACAACAATAACTTGTTTTCATTAATTGTTTTATAAAGCTTATATCTAACTTCTACATAACTGAATATACTAAATAATAAATATAAGTATAAAATACTAAAACTGCCACAAACGCAATATATTTGAGGCAATTTTTATATTTTATTGTTTTTTTTTACTCTTTATATGTGACTATTTATTGTCTCATTGCACTTTATAATTCTTGTAATATGTACAGTAGTATGTAGCATTTATTGTATTTCTGTTTATGCTTCATGAGATGATTCTTCTAGTTTACATTTTTTTCAAAGTCACATAGCTATGCTTCTGTTCTTTCAACTGGGTTTCATGGGAATATCATTAGTAGAATTATAATTATAAAGTCTATAGTGTAGTAGTTCTATACTAAAGCCAAAAATAATTACTACTATAGCATTGTAATCTACTCTACTATTAGCTGTAGGCCTATTTTATATAGATAAGCCTATGTTATACGATGAGAAACTTTAATGTTGGGATTAAGGAAGGGGGCTCTTATAGGGACAGGTTATATTTTTCAAGTTTAAAGAGAGATCACAAATAGTACCCTTTGGTAAAATAAATTCCACGTATATAAAGAAAAATCTTCATCACATGGTATGTATGTAGAGATTACCAGGTAACTACTTACTGTAACCTAATGCTTAATGTTCCCAGTGCGATCTTCCAGGGTGTGTAGTTGTTTTGAAGGGTGAAAAGTCAACATGTTCTTCTGTGTCAACACCAGTGTGGCCTTACTGGTTTTACAGATTACATGTAATCATGTGACGGGCTGCTTACTGGCTGGTTGTACAGACAATACAACCTAATAATCTTTGTTTACTATCTTTATTGCTATAATGTTAAAATGGCCTCCTTTAATGAATGTAAACACTGGAGTAGTTTCAGTGTGACTGCTGGCTCTGGGGGATAAAGGCATTGATTATACATTTTCTCCACTGGGTGGTGCTATAACCCTGGTTGGCTCAGCGCTGTTTCATATTGTTTTCTGCCATTTTAAAATAGATATGCAAACGTTTCTAATAAGTGTTTTTGTCGTATAATACCTGTACTGATGTGAACGTTTTGAAAAAAATTGAAGAAGTTGACAACATACAGTTGTAAATCACACACCACGCACAGGAAGTGCCCTCGTGCCACCTCTAGGGGGACTCATGTGCTCACGAATGCAGCTCGTGTGAGTGTAGGCAGTGTGTGCGTGTGTGTGAGAAGGGGGAGAGAGGGAGAGAGAGCCGGAGAGGTCGAAGCGGTGGGAATGTACTGTAGCACTGGCTGGGAAGAGCGAAGGTTGTCCGGCCAAATTCGAGGTGTTTGCTCGCTTCTCCCTGAACCAAAACCCCTCCTCCTTCCACACGGACAGACCCGCATCTGAAGCGTATGACGGCGGCTGCGTGAACACTGAACACGGAGCTAAACTGGAGCTCCACTGCGGTGTGATAGTTACTCATGTAACGAGGATGTCCAATGGTAAGTAGGCTGCCTCTCTTAAGCTTTTCCCGCGGCGGTGCTGGGAAACTGCTCTGCACAGTGTTATTGTATTTGGTGCTGCTCGGATAAACTGAAACGCAGTAAGAGGATAGAGCAGTCGGGGGGAAATGCCAACAGCTGACTTGTACTACAATGTTTTGCTGTGACGATTGCGGGACTGCAGGACTGTAGACACGAACCCTTGGTCGTAATGCAGGCAATTCATTTACACTTTAACGTGTAGCAGCGATTAGGAGGCAAATCAGCTGTTTTACACTATTTTCGGATTGGCCCACAGCATCCTCGCCAATTTCTTCTCTCCCAGTGACCTGTTTGGAGTCAAAACATAATGACGTACACGTTAAATATTGAGGGAGACAGGCCCAGTATGTGGACCCCGTTATCTCTGTAAACTGGGCTGCACATCCCTGCGATATCAGGATAGGATCCACTGCCAATATTGAAGTTGCGGGTTGTTTTACTCCTGATAAGTTGGCGAAGAAGGTGATGTGTGTCTAGCTTTACTTTTTTTTCTGCAGCCAACATACTCCATGCTGACTTCAGGCTATCCAGTGGTACAGTGTCTCCATGTGTAGTGCGGTTCAAGAGGCTACATTTGAACATGGAGAGCTGTCGCCTGTAGGCTACTTGGAGCGTCCTGTTATGTAATGCGCTTCGGCCGACTGCCCGCATCCAAACAGCCTGGGCCTACACGTGTAAATGCTAAACATGTTTTTTATTTATTTTTAAAGTCAGGCCCTTGTTTGCAATGGTGACAGGAGTGATGCCGAAAATGTAAGATTTTGCTAATCTATAATGAAATCTAAACGAAAGCATCACCATCATGTTCCGTTGTTATGCATGCATGCAGGACGGCTGACTGAAATCGGCCCATATGTGGCTCAGAGATTATATTCATATTCAATGGCAGATGCATGCATGTACAGATGGTATTACATAAGAGCCGCATGCTGCTGCCTGAC